AGAAGCGTTTATAATCTCATATAATGTCCCACAAATGCTGCAATTCCTTCACACATGAAAAAAACCTCTTTTAGAAATAATTTTGGTTCTTCAATTGTATTAATAACTACATCCCAATCGTATTTTCCAATATCTGTTATCTGACCACTTCCAAGACTTCAAAGATTTCTGCATCGATGAAATTTTAAGCTGGTCATCTGTAAAACTTAGGATTTTTCCTGAAAAATACTCCTCTTCATACTTAAAGATTCACGATATTCATGAACTTTTTTGACAATTTGGTTAAGGCCTAGTTGCTGAAAATTCTGTTATTGCAGTTGTTTGACAGTAAACGGGAAGTTCTTGAGGAGATAGATTTGATCCAATGAAGAAGAGATATGTGTGTGATTGTTTGTTAAATGAAAGTGATGTAATATACCATTGTATTATTAAGTTATTTATACTTATTCGAGAGATATATTTATGAAATGTGTGTTATTTATTGAGTAATTGTTTTATGAATGTTTTATGTTCTTTTCTTGTGTTTTAAAAAGCTTAGTGTAGGCCTGCTTCTTTTAGTATTGTTCTGAAGCTATTGCTTAGGTATCTTGTAGCATTTTAAATTAATTGCTATTTAGCAAGATTTAAGATAAAATTATGATTACCTTACGATACCACTGAAGACCTTTTCGTAAAGAAAAATAATAAGCTGCCATTTGATTACTGTAATCTACACCATTTTTAGCTTTCTTGCAGTCTTGGATAACTTGCGGTTTAAAAATATATTTCACTGGTTCCTCTCTTGTTTTTGATCTTTTTTTTATTGCACGTATTGCAGAAGTTTAATGTATGCTCAAGTTTACTGGATAACAGTAATACCAGCTTCTTGCCAACGGAGTAGCTTTATATTGTCCCTATTTTTGATGCCAATTATTTCATTTTTCTTTATTTTCTTTTGAACTGTTCCCTTTGGAATACGTTTCTGATTGCTTCTAACGGACAATAAAAAGTTTGGCGATCTAATAGATCTTTTGCAAGAGAAATACCCGAATAAAAGTTATCAGCATATAAAGTTCGCCGGGCATCTCACAAAGCTATTCATTAAGGTCAGCACAACTTTCTGAGAATGACTTTTCTTATCAAATTGTTTTCTTTTCCGCAATAAACCATTACTTTATAGGTATATCCGCCGACAGTACATAGTTTATATAATTTAACGCCATTTTTATGGCGTTTGTTTTATATATATATATATATATATATATATTATATATATATTATATATATATATATATATATATATATATATATATATTGCCGTACACTAAAACGACCACGCCATGGTACCATACTTTCATCTATGACTACATTCCTTCCTTGTCATGGTTTTCATGAATCTGTCATTAAAAAGTCTAAAACATGTCTGTTTTTGTATAATTTATCGTTGCTTTCTAGTATCCCGTCGTTATTTTGAAAATGTAGATACCGTAGAATTAATAAAAATCTATCCCTATTCATAACTGAGGAGATAAATTTATATAAGGGTCATTTTTGGATCAATATAATCGAATATTAGGGACCTTCATGAATCCCATGCAAATCACGATACTAAAGATTTTTTAATTTCTTTTTTATTAGTCGGAACCCACTTACTCTTAGATTATTATTTGATACTGTGTACACCAATTTCTTGTTCTGCATATCTATTGGTTTCTTGAACAATTAATTCCAAAATTTCATCTGTGACAAATAGACAAAAAATATCCAATAGGCTCATATTTTCACATTGAATATATATTTATTTTAGAATCTGTAGGATATTCATCAAAATATAATTTGTGTTTCCTAAATGAAAATAGATAAATTAGATTTTGGGGGGATTTTTAAATTTTAGGTGATGCTGAGGGAGATGTATGATTCTAACTGACCTAAAAATAAAGATAATGAGAATCAAATTATAAGATTCACTTAAGGTCTCAACACTGCCTAGGGTGATTGCGGGGTAGATTGAGTAGCTCTGTGGTTACCACAGCTGGTCTCAAGCCCGAATAAAATGTGGATGGTGATTGGCAAGGTTAGCAACCTACCAATCGTAAAAACGAATAATGCTCAAAGAAACAATGTACAGCCTCGGAACCGTATTGATACTATGAAGGCGACTACGGCAAGAAATAAGGACGAGCAAAAAACATCCAAAACCCAGATGAGAATTACTACTTGGAATATCAGATCACTCCACTCAAGAGACCAAGAACTAACCCAAGTGCTGAAAGAGAAAGAAATAGATATTTGTGCTTTACGGGAAACAAAAAAGAAAGGAAAAGGTCAATCAAAATTAGGTGAATACATACTAATCTACAGTGGAGTAGCAAAACAAAACAGGAACAAAGAAGGTGTAGCCTTACTAATACACCAAAGGTACCAATCAAACAGCCAAAGTGATAATAAATAAATTTAATGAAATTATAACACTAGCAGAACAACAAGATTTTAGGTCGGGAAGATCATGCACCGACGATATATTTATAATGAGGCAAGTGCAAGACAAATTATTAGAATACAACAAACCGGCATATCTATGTTTCGTGTACCTTACAAAGGCATTTGACCGGGTCAAATTAAAAGACGTTATCCACTTACTGTATGCAAGAGAGATACCTATAGGTATAATCAAAACGATCGAAAATATCTACCAAAACAACACAATAAAAGTAAGTAGATGAACTAATAGATCCTATTGAAGCTGACAATGGGATAAGACAGGGTGATTCCCTAAGTCCTGTATTGTTCAACCTGATTATGGATGAAATAACAAAAAAAAGTAAGAACTAAAAAAGGATACCAAAAGGGAGAAAAACAATTTAAAAGAATCTGCTATGCAGACGAGGCAATACTACTCTCTCAAAGTGAAGATGATTTACAACGTATGCTTCACCAATTTAATATAACCGACAGAAAATTTAACATGTTAATTTCCCCAACAAAGACAAAATGCATGGTTACAACAACAAATTTACTAAGATTTAAATTGGAGCTGCAAAGTCAGATAATAGAACAAGTGATGGAGTTTAAATATCTAGGCAGGTATCACATTATCTAGCTACGGAAAGCTCGAAACCAAAGTGGAAGATTAAGTCAATAGAGCAAACAGAGCCGCAGGCTGCCTAAACGAAACAATATGGAGAAATAAAAATATCGGGAGACAAAAGAAAGGCAGAATTTACAAAACAGTCATCAGACATGTTGACTGGCGGCAGAAACAAAACCTGACACAGAGAGGACAAAAAAGGATGTTAGAAACAGCAGAGATGGAAATACTTAGAAAAATTTATGGTAAGACACTATCGGACAGAACTAGTACATATAATATACGACATAGATACAAGATGGAGAACATCAAAAACTGGGTATGAAATAGAAGAGTAGAATGGAACGATCATATAAGCCGAATGACAACAAATAGAGTAGTAAAGACGGCAAGAGACGGTTCCCCAATAGAAAGAAGATCAGTAGGAAGACCACGAAAACGATGGAATGGCAACTTATTGGAGGCACATTTAAAGTCTCCAAATTTCAGTATCGGTTGAACGTAAAGTTCATACCAGACCAATGCATCTGGTAACGGCATGAACGTATTAAGTCGTTTCTTCTCTGCTTGTATTCTGGAATTTAGCAGTCTTATTAATAAAAATTGCTTAGTCCGAAGTTAGTCTAGGACTAGTTAGTCCCAGATTAAGCGAGTACTAACTTCATTTTCAGAATGTTATTAATAAACATGGACAAATAAGCTCAGACTAACTAAACCTTCCTTAGTCCTAGGTACAACAAGTTTATGTTGGCAACCATTGCGAAAAAGAAGAAAAATGGAGAGAATTTTGTGAAAAAAAAGAGAAAATATTTGAGAATTTGACAGTTAGCATAAGTTGGAGCACGTAGAGTTAATTTTAGTTGGACTGTGTTCTGAGAAAGTTTGTTTATATTTTATAGTATTTTTTTTATCTGAAAAGTTTAAACTTCATAAAAGTTCAGGAGGAAACTTTAACAAATATTTTATTACAAAGGGAAAGTATAAAAAATACTAATAAACATAATGAATTGTAAAATATTTTATTAAATAAATTTTATATATTTTAATATGTCTTAGATGAATATTATTTCACTGATTTCTATGGTCATTAAGTTGTTCTATTAATCTTAAGTCATTGATAAAATAATCTTCCATTATTAAATAATGTATGAATAATCAAAAACAATTCAGGTTATGAATACCAAAACGAAACAACTCAATTTCAATTATCGAGTTAGTCACTCTCTAAACCTGCCACTACCTCGGATTAAATGTTAGTCCAAGATTAGCCAAGGTTTAGCTTAGTCGGTCGTTAGTCGCTGATTATTAATACGAAAAATGAATGTTATTGGTGTAGTCCTGGGACTAATGTTAGTCCGTGTTTATTAATAAGAGAGTAATAGTTCTAGATTAACGTGTGTGTGTCATTCTATTTTGTTCCAAGTTTCACTGGTGATCCACTTTACGTATTTCTTCAGGCACAAATTGTCACTTATTTCCACAAGGGTATTGCCTATTCTAGTATCGCTAGGACCAACGGTTTAGTAAAATTATCCAAAAGTAATGCTAGTTTATTGACGTGTTTGGCTAGTACACACAATCACATGATCAAAGTAACAAGGATTAGAATCATAAAACAAGGATTAACTTTATTAAGTACTATTATATTAAAATTACTAGCTACTTCGATGAAGTATAGTTTTCTTAACTATATTAACTAATATATTCTTGCCAAAAATAATACAGGGTGGAAAGAATTTTTTTATGGTTTTAAGGGTTTCAAATCATCGCTGGTGGTGCAATCTATAATATATATCGAAATTAATGATAATTTGAATTTGCCAAAAAATATTGCCTATTCATTTCGGCGCATTGTCATTCTTAATTTCAAAAATCCTGTTTATAAATTAATATACGAATATTATCTGATCACTTTTGTATTAAAACACCATTATGTAAATAAATCTTTTATTAAAAAATAACACTAGATAATAAGGGTATGTTGATATCTAAAAAAAATAAAAATAATCTTAACCATTTATGTATAACAAGAATCAATTATGTCTTATTTTTGAGTTCATTTATGTCAAAAACCATTTTGTCCATAATGTCCACAGCTTCGATCTCATCTAAGTTTTCTAAAAAGTTACGTAATACATAGATAAAGCTTGGTTTTGTCCAGTCCTGGTTGGCCTAAAAATAAAACAAACATCTGTTACATTATGTGTTAAAAGTGACGAAATTTACAGACATAATAATGTTATTTCTACGATAAGTGAAACAAAGGGCACGACCTTCTTTAATTTGTCTAAATCTTACAGAATTATTTTTCATCGCAGTAAAAAAACACTAGTAAAATTTTAGCCCACTTAAATTTTCAGCAAAATTTGGGATTAAAATATGTATAATGCGTTTTTAGTACAACTTTGCCTTGAAATGCATAAAAAACCTTTGAAAAAACATCTGAGGAGTTTGCTTGTAAATAGGATGCAGCTCCATATTGGTAATTGTTGGGAAATTGAAAAAAAAACTGTTTTTTGATAAAAGTTTTTATTTTAATCCGAAAGAGATAATATCAATCCATGACAAATAGATTTAGTCAATACTTGAGACTATTTTCAAGTAGATAATTTTTGGAAAAATAAGAAAAAAAATGAAAAAAAGTTGGACTTGCATCTTTCTTGCACTAAACACGTGAAATAATTATTCTTTACCATAATTTTTGAGAAAAAAAAAAACAAATTCCCAAGAAAAACTCTTTTATTCGGTTACAACAATCAAACGACTATGGTTTGCCTACTACACAAATACGAAAAAATCTGTAAAAAGAAACAGGTTGGTGTCAAAAAATAACATTCAGAAAAAAAAAATAAGACATTAAACACACTGGCAAACACATCCTTTATTCATCTACCTGGTCGTCATCATCCGTTTCAGATGATTCGGTTTTCTGGTTCTCTGCCATGGCTGCATCACTTCTGAGGTGGGTGTAAAAAGCCATTTGGTCCATAGGAACGAATCGTGTTGCCAACGGCATTACATCTGCATACTTGGCTTTTTTTATAGGTATAGGCTTGCAATAGACAGGAATATCAGAAGAAACTGAGAGGTCGCTGTCAAGGTTTCTCAAGGTTTGGAATAAGTAAAAACCCGGAAGGCCAGAAGATATACTGACTGTAATACCATCTGGATGTTTATTGATGTACTGGAAAATTGGGTATTTTAAAACCTGAAATCTTTGCTTTTCTGCATCTGAGATAACTTTTTTAAAATGTCCTTCATAGTGACCTCTAAAGTTCAGGATCATATTTTGTTTTACCAGAATGCAAATAAACTGTTTGGATGATTGTTTAACAAAATCAGCATATTGTTGTGGGCTAAAAACGTAGTCCTTCTTCCTTAAAAACTACTCAATACCGCCAAAGCAGCGATCACATGGAAGAAAGCTATGTCCTGGCTCAGGAAAGCGGTGCTCTATCTTGTCATTAGACCTAGTTCTCACCATCAAATACAGATACTGAATCATTACGGAGTTTTTGTTTGTCGCAGCAGCGTTATCAGAGAAAAGGTATAAAACTTGCTCCATGTTGACATGTTCAATGTGTTGTTTTTTTTACAAAGGTATGTTTCTTGTTTGGATACTTCCTCCTAGCTAAAGGACCTACGACAGCACTATTAACACAGCTTTTATCAGAGCTTGTAGGTTCATGGTCTGACTCACTAGCGCTAAATGGATCTGACTCGGTTTCACTCATTTTACATGACGTTAAGTTTTTACACGAACAATTAAACCGCATGAAAATGCACGCCACGCAGTATAGATAGCGACTAACAAGTTAAAACAAATCAGCTGCCCTGTAGACCCAGCGCCAACAGAAGATGACTTTGCATTCTACGAAAATCACCCAACATTCACAATCATTTGATGCAAAAAGGATGCAGATCCGGAGCTACACCCTTCTTGCACCAAATAAGTGAGGAGACAGAGCCATAAAGACGTATAATTCCTTTCTATATTATCGGACCTGCATCGTTCTTATCTGCACCGAGGACGGTGTCGTCACGGAAGCGATAAAGATAGGAGGCTCAGTACTGATAGCCAAAATTCAAAAGCTCTTTAATCTATGCCTATGGAATCAAAATATCCCAACAAAGTGGAATAATTCAATAACTGTACTCTTACACAAGAAGGGAGATGTAGCAGACCTGGAAAGATACAGACCAATCAGTCTCCTTAACCATCTTTATAAATTATACACCCGAATAATAACGAATAGATTAGAGACAAAGCTGGATTTTTACCAACCTCGGGAACAAGCTGGTTTCCGCCCTAATTACGGCACAAACGATCACCTGCAGTGCCTAAAAACCCTAATAGAAAAAACTAACGAATATAACCGTCCCTTGGCATTGATATTTGTAGACTTTAAAAAGGCGTTTGATACAGTGGAACTACCGTCCATTTTAAGAGCACTACAAGATTGCAGGATCGACCACAGATATTGTAATATAATTAAAAATATATATGAAAATGTCACAACAACCACAAGTCTATATTCTGCAACTAATAAAATAAAGATAAAAAGGGGAGTCAGGCAAGGTGATACCATGTCACCAAAGCTGTTCATTACCGTTCTTGAGTATGCATTTAAAAAACTAACATGGCAACAGAAAGGAATATCCATCGATGGAGAAAGATTAAACCATCTACGTTTTGCGGACGATATCGTGCTTCTGTCAGATAATCTGGGAGAGATCAAAGACATGCTCCAAGAACTGAATGACATACTACAAGAAACTGGGCTGGAGATAAATTTCGAGAAAACCAAAATGATGACCAATATGGTTCCCAGCGAAGAGATACAGATCAATAACAATAAGGTAGAATTAATCGATAAATACACATACTTGGGTCATGAAATTAGAATAACCAGAGACAACCAAACCTGCGAGCTAAATAGACGAATCATGTTGGGATGGGCGGCATATGGACGGATGAGAGACATTTTTAAAACAAATATCCCAATTCACCTGAAAAGGAAGGCATTTAACCAATGCATCTTACCAGTCTTGACCTACGGAGCAGAGACCTTAACTTTAACGAAAGCTACTGCCGAAAAACTGAGGGTAACACAAAGGCGAATATAGAGATCAATGCTGGGCCTGACCTTGAAAGATCGCGTAAGAAATGAGGAGATACGCCGACGAACTGGCGTAGACGATATTATACTGCGAATCAATAAACAAAAGTGGAGGTGGGCTGGACATGTTGCTAGAATGGAAGACGGAAGATGGACGAAGAGATTATTGGAGTGGAGACCAAGAGCCGACAAGCGAAGTCGAGGCAGACCACCCACCCGATGGACCGACGACCTAAGGAGGATAGAAACAAACTGGATTGCAGCAGCTAGAGATAGAGAGAACTGGAGACGTTTGGAGGAGGTCTATATCCAATGGATGTGAAAATTCGGCTGGATGATGATGATGATCTTCATCTGTTCTTATACCAGTCAATCCGCCAATTTTTTTTTAATTATGGCATATGTTTCCACCCAAAACAGTCTAAATATGGTGCTGCATCCTTCTTACAGCAAACTCATCATTTTTGATGTAAGATTTCTCGCGTAACATGATGGTTAGGATGAAACTTTGGAATTTTTTTTAAATAAGCCGGAAAGCGGAACTTCTGCCAACATTTTTATACATTTTGGGATGAATACAATTTTGACCTATCTTTGTCACACCAAGGCACACTCAATCCTAGGTGCTTTTAAATAACAAAAAAGCTAGTTGTGACACTATCCCTAATCCTAATCACAGTAACTCCATAATAAAGGGATAGTGTGACACCTCACCCTCTTAAATTTAACATAATGTATAAATGAATTAAAAATTCAACATGCCTATTCACTGTGCAATGATTGTGACAATTGACCAGAAAGTCTTCATTAACCCTTGGTCAAGTGACCCTATATCAAATAGGACATAAAAATTAATCTACGATGTACATATATGGCATTATGTCGTTTTGTGAACACGTTATGAAAAAAAAAACAACCCTTACCTCCACAGCGTGAGTCAAAATGGCTTTCGCTTCGGATTTTATCATACCACTATCAACTAAATGTTCCATTTCCAATAATTGGGCAAGATTCTTCCAATTATTGTGTATATCCAAAAGACTTGCAACTGTATCCAAACATTGAGGTGTTAAACTGTTTATACCCTCGTAAAGTTCCTCTAATTCCTCTGATGAAACTTCTTGCTTTTCTGTTTTGACTTCTATATCCTGAAACTAAAGAAAAATTGAAGAATTAAATTAACGGCTACAATAACCCAAATGAATGCTGTTTTCTCAACCTAGTAATTCGAAAAGATTGATACTACTATGGAAAAACGCAACCGTCATTTATTTTACTACTATGGAAGTTAAAAGAGATCTTTATCTATATTGTGGTTTTGACCTGTTCTAGGATCAGTTTCTATTCCCACCATGACACGGTCTTTAAACATTGCTCTGGACAATACATGTGTTTTGTAGGTTCTGTCCCATTAATGCTTGTATTTATTATTAATCGTAGCCTGTATATTTTTGATAGATGTCAAGTTCACTAAAGAGGTGATAGAGCTTAAAATTGTAACTCCAGCAGAGTTGAAATTGAAACTTTTAATAAAAAAAAAATCAATGAGGACAACTTATAGAAAAAATTACAATGTCCGAGTCTATATAAAAGGGTCCCCCAGATATGACAACACTACTTGCATCGTTTCTTTTTACATTGGTACAAGTCTTGATAAACTTTATGTAAAACTTTGTAGCATTCAGAAAATTCCTTAAACTATCTAATATTCAAGAGTATAAAATTTATCTAGTACATCCTTTGGGGTAAGTTTAAATATTTCCCCAATTCTCTGTTAACATGTAAAGGAAAAAATTCCAAATTCAAGTGTAACTGCGACTATAAATATGGTTTTATTTATTTCTACGTTTACTTCTACAATTTGAAGCGGAATTTTGGTTTGTTCCTTGGTGTGGACGGGTTAGCGGAGAAAGAAAACGGTAGGGCCGGTATTAGGAAGGTCGAAGAGAACTTAGGTTCGAAAGGGTGGTCATCGTAAGCGGTATTTAGTTAGTCGGTCAATAAACCGGCAAATATGTCGAAGAAAAAGTGATTTATACTCAAAAAAATGTGTAACTTCAGATTAGAGTAATTACTATTTTTTTTTGTTTGTAAGCCGTCTCCCATCTGAGATATTTGTAGAACGGCGGTTGCAACAGCTCTGAAAAATATCCGATGCTTCCAGTTTTTTTTTTAAGAAGCCCAGTCTAAAGTTTGTATCTAGTGGCCCAATTTCAACCTCAAAGTTGCATGTCCCTAAGAAGCCGTTTCCAAATACCTTTTCACAGTTTGGAGATGCAGTTTTTTTTGCGTGGCAGAGAGTATAGTATCCTACAACCGGGAATTTAGAGTGAATGTGCATTTTGGTGAAATCCAGGTAACTTTTTTTGTTTGAACTTTCAAAGTAACATTTTTTTATAATAATTTGCTTTCATAACAATTTAAAATATTTTTATAATAGTTAAAACTATGTTTTAGGGCGTGGCCTAGCTGTCATATTATTTGTTCTGTTTTAAAACTAATATTAACATCTGACAGCTAGTTTTATTTTTTAACATTAGTTTGTTTTGTTTTTAGAAAAAGGTTAACCTCCATGAAGAGTCGCATTTAATAAAAATATTCCTTTATTTGTAATAATGTATTTCTGCCACAGATTATAGCCCAGTATCATTTGTAAGTGTTGGATAGGACATAGTAAGTGTTTCTTTGTTATTTTGGTATAAATCTCTGTAACTATCTATATAGTATTTTTGTACCATTTATATTTGTAACTGTTTGTGGTGAGATAATAAATGTTTAATTTTTTTCGTTAAACCCATTTGTTTATTTATTTCGTTAGAAAAGTTTATAACCATTCATTTGTGTTTTTTAGGGTGGAAGCAATCTTTCTTTCATCCAGCAGGAAGTTTCCTCGAAGCGGCGTCTTTATTTTAAATAGCTAGAGGTCTTTCTTGTGTTTTGTTTCTCTATTTGTCCAGGAGATTCATGTAAGTACCCTTTTTTGTTTCATTTCTGTAGTTGCCCCAATCCAACCCCCTTGCCATTCACTTATCCACGAACTAGTTCTCCAAATAAACCCTGAGAGCCGTTCGCATAAGTTTCGATTTGTTTTGCTTGTCCTATCTCCATTCCAATAGCTTCTGTCCCCAAATTTTCAACCCCCTATAATAATACCCTATGTGGTAGGCAAAATATTTCGTTAGAACTGAAACTTATTCCAGGCAGTATTTAGCTGGAGGTAGTCTTCTGAAGAGGTGAGGAGCGATTGAAATGAAAAAAGATTCTATGTGCAATGATAAAATTCTTCGTTAAATAATGTTTTCATATCAATAGGCATATATTTGCGGTTTATAAATCTATGTATACCGATTGTTCACCTTCAATGGGTATAAAAACCGCAACCACAACGTATTACGCTACGTGAAATTTACAACGTTATATAAAAATCGAATGGGCAGAGAACGAGAATTATTGCAAATAATAAAAAGACGAAAAACTGCTTATCTCGATCATCTATTTGGGAATTCCAAGTACCAGTTCTTAAAGCTTATGGAAGAGAAAATAGAAGGAAAACGGGGCATCGGACGAAAGAAATACTCATGGCTTAAAAATATAAGGGATCGGACAAACCTCGATGTCCATGCATTCTTTAGAGCCACACAAGATCGGGAGGAGTATGCCAGAATTGTTGCCAACATCCACTAATTGAAAAGGGCACCATAAGAAGAAGATATGGAAATTACATGTCAACGTATGGGTCACATTTTGCATCAGAAACTGAATATAAAAAACAAGGCACAAGCTGGTTACTGCATGTACTCACAAAAAGTGCTTGGCTTATTTTAACAACAAAGATACGACTTTTTGACATATCCTATAGAGTTCTAAATAATGGATGATCCAAAAACAAGAGTGAGTTAAGAACCGCCCTTTTCTGTAATGATAAAATTTTTACTAGATCGGATAAATCTATTAAATTTCAAGAAGGGCTATAACATTTTAACTACCACTCCAGTAAGAAAATTACTTACTTCAACGTCCATTTCATCATCCGTTTCCTCTGGCTCTTCTTTGATATCCAAAACAATGTTATTGAATTTCTGAAAAAAAAAAAAACAAAAAATATATTTATAAGCGCGCCAACTATGCTCATGCAAATAAAAAATTAAATCAATCATACACCTTTACATTTTTAATCATTAAATCAATCATCAGCCATCACTTTTAATACACCTTGATGCATTTTGTTTCGTTTCGGTTTTCTCTCTAATAGTTTACCACAATTTGATAAAAAAATAATAATACAATTTTTGTGACTGAAAAAAGTCGAAAAGATGCCAATTTTTAAAAATGTTTTTTAAATGCCCGCCATTTTGTATTTTTTTAAGATTTTCAATTTTTCTGGTCAACTGTCACGTAAGGGAACCTCTTTTTTTCAGAGATTATAATATCTCCTGTTAGTGGAGGAATTAGTATAACTGAAGTCGAAGAAACTGTAGACGATGAAAATCAAATTGAGTTTAATTGAAGCATTATTTGTGAATTTTGCAAATTATTTTTTACTGCTATTAGCTTTCACATACGTTGTTAACAAAACTATGTTTATTTTTGTAGAATAAAAAATATTAAACTCGTTTTCTTTTCGTTTTATAAAAATCTTGCAAAGATTGCAAAATCCTCTTTTAATAACAGTACAGCTTTATGGGATTAAGCCACAATTGGTTGTAATGATAATTACAAGATTAATTAATTACAAGTTGTTTCTAAAAGACGTCCAAGTTTGGCCGGTTTCATCGGCTCATTCGACAAAACTTCGTTCCATACGATGCACTGAGGTCTTTCTTCACCGTTTAAATTATATGTCAAACCGAAAGCTAAGATTATCACAAAACTTACGATGTTTATTAAGATTTGAAGTCAATGGTCTTTCATTTGCTTCGTCTAAAGTGGAATCATTTGGCTTTAAACGTAATATCTATAAAGTTATGAACACCGTAAGGAAGCACAGAACAAAACAATGCAAATATGCGTAATATAATCTTAACTCACGATTAATAAAGCAGCCCAAGTGTACTCAACAAGTGTTGTGCACGGACGTGGATGGTGTGACAGGGGGAAGGTTCTCTGCGCGCATTGTTTTACTCACTTGCACGCATGCGAGCGTAATGGTTACGAGACTTTATTGATTAATATCCATAGATAAGACAATGAACCTCATAACAGGGGTCCGCGGACCGCAGGTTAAGAAACACTGTTCTATAAATACCGGATTTTTTTATAACACATTTGATAACGATAAGAAAGTGTAAGCAATTCAAAGACATAATGGAAAAATACTTACCATAAAGCTTTCAATGATATTTCGAATTTCATCATTATCTGTTTTAGTAATGCCGGCAACGAGTGGTGAAATATTAGTAAAGTCTTTAATATTGACATCTGTTTGTTCCAGAGAAAGCAAATATCGAATTATATCTAAATGCTCTTTTTCAATTGCTATTCTTAACGGTACAAAACCATTCTTCTGCTGTTTTTTATTGACATCTGCATTTTTGAAGCACAAAAGCTTGACATAAGCTAATTTATTTGCCTCGACCGCCATCATCAAAGCAGTATTGCCATCTGAAAGAGATAAAATTAATCACACTATAGTATTTATACGGTGTGTAAAGGGGTAGTGAAGCGCAATACATGATGTATCCTGTTGGCATCACTTAGCTTCTCCTACTCAATTCCTATCTTCACCTCCAAGCTGGTACACACCGGTAACCTGAGCAACCCCACTGGAGATTGGGTAACCAACCCTCAATGGAAGGTGGGGTCAGGGCTGACGAAGAAGGGAGTCTTGGTCCTCCGACGAATAGGGGGTTGGGCTGAAGGTTAACTACCTTCTCCTAGAAAAACCATGAGTTATGAACGTTCAAGGAAGAAAAGCCGGACTGATTAAACGACGACGACTGTGCGAGAAAAAGGAACACGATTGAGGGTTGCGACATGGAATGTTCGAACATTGTACAGATTAGGGGCTCTCCAAAATCTCTTAAACGAACTAAGTAGATACAAAATTGACATAACTGCCATACAAGAAATTAGGTGGATTGGAAACAATATTATGGAAAAAAAGAGCCATACCATTTTCTACAGCTGCGCTCCTAAAGATCACATTTTGGGCACTGGATTCATAGTTAACAAGAAAGTAAGACATATAATAAAAGACTTCAGAGCTTCAGAATGTGTATTTTAAGAATTAAAGGACGTTTCTTCAACTACAGCCTAATTAATGCGCATGCCCCCACAGAAGAAAAAGAAGAGGAAGTCAAAGAAGAGTTTTATGATGAATTAGAGTCCGCATACCAGTCATGCCCAAAAAGTGATATAAAAATAATTTATGGAGACTTAAACGCAAAAGTTGGAAGAGAGCAGCAATTCCAACCCACAATAGGTAAGCACAGTCTCCATGAGCAATCAAATGACAATGGCAATAGGTTGGTAAACCTAGCAAGATCACTTAACATGGTGATTGCCAGCACATACTTCGCTCGAAAAGATATACACAAAGGCACCTGGAAATCACCAGACGGACTTACAGTGAATATGATAGATCATGTTATTGTAGACTCAAGACACCAATCGAATATAATAAACGTCCGTACTAGAAGAGGGGCAAATGCGGATTCTGATCACTACCTAGTCGAAAGTAGGATAAGGGCTAGAATTTCAAACATCAAAAAGGAAAGAGGCTCTAACAATGAACGATACAATATAGAAGGACTCAAAGAAACAAACAAAAATAGAGAGTACAAAGAAAATATAAGCATCAAACTAGAAAACAGACTAAAACATGAAAACCTAAATGAGGAGTGGGAAGAGTGCAGAGAAACCATAAAAGAAACAGCTAAAGAGGTGTTGGGCATGGAAGGTAAAGAAAGAAGAACAAGAACGAATCACTGGTTTGACGAAGAATGTCAAACTATAACAGAAAGAAAAAACAGAGCATATCTACAGATGCAACAGAGGCACAGAACCCGACAAGCAGAGGAAGAATATAAACAACTACGTAAAGAAGAAAAGAAAATTCACCGAAGAAAGAAGAGAGAATATATCAACAAAGAACTACAAGAACTAAGTAAACCAACAGAGACAAGAAAATTTTACCAGAAACTCAACAAAAGCAGAAAAGAGTTCAAACCGAAACAACGATGTGTAAAGATAAGGAGGGTAATATATGATAATATATTGACAGAACAGCAAGAGATACTTAGAAGATGGACAGAACATTTTAAGGAAAAGCTTGGGGTGAATAGGAGGAGATGAACCCTGATATACCGTTAGACCAAGCAGACAATAGAGAAAAGAGTCCACCAACAATAGCAGAGATTAGAACAGTAGTGGACAAACTAAAGAACAATAAATCACCGGGATCGGATCAAATATCATCGGAGCTACTGAAAGAAGGAGGAGACGCATTACTTAAAGCCATACATGAGCTGATAAGAAAGATATGGTTGAATAAACAGCTACCAAAGGAGTGGAATAACGGCATTATTGTACCACTACATAAAAAAGGAAACCAGTTAGAATGTGAAAACTACCGTGGAATCACGCTGTTGAATGCGACATACAAAATAATGTCCAACGTAATGTATGAAAGACTTAGACCATGCGCTGAAAAAATAGTTGGCAAATACCAATGTGGCTTCTGTAGACAGAAGTCAACAATAGACCAGATATTTGTTCTGCGACAGATCCTTGAAAAAACAAGTGAATATAACATCGACACACATCATCTCTTCATAGACTTCGAAAGCGCATATGACAATATAAACCGAGAATTCCTAACAAAAGCAATGAAAGAATTTAATATACCAACACAGCTAATAGAATTGATAAAAGAAACACTAAAAGTAGAAAGTAAAATCCGGATACAAAACGAATTAACGGAAACAATAGATGTGAAGAAGGGACTACGCCAAGGAGACGCTCTATCATGCATATTATTCAACATCATACTTGAAAAAATAATAAGAGACACAACAGTTAATACCCGAGGAACAATAATTAATAAAAGCGTGCAAGTACTAGCATTTGCAGATGATGTTGACATAATCGCAAGATCAAGAAGAGAAATGATAGAGGCATTCACTCAAATAGAACGAGCTGCAAAAAATAGTGGTCTTAAAATCAATCAGACAAAAACAAAATATATGCCTGCAAATAAAAACGCACAAATAAGGCAGCTGCCAAATTTAACAATAGGAGAATACAACATTGAGGCGGTAAAAAACTTTACATACTTAGGATCCCTAGTTACGTCTGATAACAACGTTGCAGAGAAAGTGAAGAGGAGAATATTTATTGCCAATAAATGTTACCATGGCTTAATTAGGCAACTAAGATCAGATAACGTCTCCAGAAAAACAAAATGCCAAATATACAAAACCTTAATAAGACCGGTACTCACATACGGTTCAGAAACCTGGACACTCTCTAAAAGGGAGGAAACGTTATTAGCCACCTTTGAAAGAAAAATCTTGCGACACATATAAGGGCACAAAAGAAAACGGGATTTGGCGGAGAAGGTATAACTTTGAACTATACAACATATACCAGGATCCGGATATCATAACATTCATTAAAATAGGAAGGCTACGTTGGATTGGACATGTGGAAAGAATGGAAGAGGGCGAAATACCAAACAAAATATTCAAACAAGTGCCAGTAGGAAAAAGAACAAGAGGAAGACCGAAGCTGAGATACGTAGAACAAATAGAAAATGATATAACAACATTAAAAATTAAAAACTGAAAAAAAAAGCACGAAACAGGTCAGAATGGAGAAGAATCCTTGAACAGGCCAAGACCCAAAAAGGGTTGTCGAGCCAGTGATGATGATGATGATAGTATTTATACATACTTCTTGATAGCTGTATTTTAATACTTAATTTAAGTTCCACGTCAAAGCTATTTTTAAGATGGTTTTGAAATAATGGAAGAGGTAGCAAGAGAAATGTAAAGATGCAGAATCGGCAAACTAGCAGTACAAGAATTAAGATGGAATAGAGAAGAAAATATTAAAGAAAAATTACACAATATTCTACTCGGGAGAAAACAAGAAAGCGAAAAATGGTAAAGCATTTATGGCCAACAATAAGATAAAAGATAAAATTATATAATTCAAAGCTAGAAATCGACGGATTTCATATAAAAATGGAAAACAAATAAGACAATGTGACAATTATAAACCCATATGCACCTACAGAAAACCAAAATAAGGAAGTAACAGTAATCAAACTATTCATAACGAGTCAAACGATAATGGAAGAAAATAAAGTCACCTTAGCAACATCAAATAGTTACATCCACTGAGCACAAACTTCAGACATAGAAGGGAACATAAAGTAACACGGCTGATATCTGGCACAACAGATCGCAATCAGATCACATACTAATATCCAAGAAATGGAAAACAAAAGTGCATAAAGTCAGATCATACAGTGGGGCAAATGCGGAAATGGGCCATTTTGGGTGAAATAAATATAAAAAGAGAAGTGAGAGAAGGCCGTATACTATCGCCTTTAATCTTTAACTTATATTCAGAAGAAATATTTAAGAGAAAATATTTCGATAATTGCTATTCTATCGATATTAATTTAAAAGACAATAGACGGTATTATTGTTAATGGTGTAATCGCAAACAATATTAGATATGCCCACGATACCTTAGTGCTGGCTAATTGCGGAGAAGACCTTCAAAGCCTAATGAAAACATCGGGAAAAAAAACGCTGAAAATAATTATGGAAAACCGCAAATCGAAGTTGCAATAGATAGCTAAAGTTATCAAAGGGTAACGTTTTGGCTATTATACATGTACATTTGGGTATGAGAAAGCTGTTTTCCAAATGAGTGCTACGTTTCCTCACACCAGAGCAAAAACAACAACGAATTAATAAATCCTGTATAATTTTTAGTCCAAATAAAGTTGGTTTTTGCGTCGGTCTGTCACAATGGATAAAACGTGGTTTCATCACTTTATTTTGGAATTAATCGGCAGTCATTTGAGGTCTCGTAAGGAATTTTAGGTCCCGTAAGGAATTCATTGACTTAGAAACATTAAGAAACAATTAACAGCGATTACTATATTGGTTTATTGGAGCATTTGAAGACCGAAATCGCAAAGAAAAGGGGTAATTTGTCTAAGAAAAAACATTGTTGTCTCAACAAGACAATGCATCGTGCCACAAGTCGTCGACAAGACAATGGCAAAAATGCACTAATTGCTTCCGCACCCACTGTATAGTCCAGATCTGACCCTCAGCGATTACCACCTTATTCCTGAGAAGAGTCGTCATCGAAAAATTCGAGAGAGTCAATAAAAGCGTTGAAATGATTGTATCATTGCTAAAGGAGATTATTTTGATGACTAAAAAATCGAACTTATTGACCGACGTATTAATGCCGCATGAATGAATCCACGTGGCCAAAGAAAATGATAATATAGAAACCAGTGCAGAGGAGCAAATGAGGATGTCCGAGAAAACAAGGAAAAATGGCATTAGAAAGCGACGAAAGGAAGAAATATACATAATCAAGACTGGTAAAATACAAAACGAACTAAACTCGGATGCTAGACACGACTATCATGTTGCATTTACTTGTTCATTTGGTCTGCCACGGGTTGCTTTTCTATGTTGATATACAGGTTGCCTCCATAAATACTTGCATTATTATATGGTAAATTCCCTATGAGGTTAGTTCTCTTAGATAACTTAATGCAGCATCAGAATATTCTTTTTTTTTAAGTGAAACTGGAACAAACCATGAAGTGGAGATATCCAGGAGTGGCTAGTATACCTGTTGAATACAAAGCACGTGGTGTTCGTGTGTATTAAGGTATAAAAAAAGCGCTTATTAAAAGCTTAAAATTTTTTTATTATAAAGAAGATCTTTTCGGAATTATATCATTCCGTCATCAGTTTACTAAACGAGAGAGTAAAAATACCAATATTAAAAACAAGAAAGTTAAAATTTGAATATACAAAAAGAACAAGGTGGTTTTTTACTACTTACATAAAAAGTTGTTAAAAAACATTGTGTGGCCACATAAAAAACATTCGATGGACATCTTGATTTAAAAAATAATCTTCATGTTATTTATTCAGGTAAATGCAATAGACTCTTGAATTGTGTAATATTAAAAAATGAAACTGGGGGCATCTTATATGACCCCCTGTAGTTGGTGAGGTTTTATCGACTTACATTACCTCTGATCTGTGTTGGAGTCTAGGGCTAACTGATAGAAAGATGGTATGAAAAATCAGTTAGTACCCGTCAATGTCAAGAGGAATGATGTGGTAGGAGCAAAGTCATTGTGCTTAAGTTTGTGAGTAGGCAGTGTTTTGTGTGTAGTAGGATCATTAGCAAGTTTTGGTATTTTTAAAAAACTGATGGGAGAATATAAATCAATGAGTGACTGCGATGTAAAATAAATTGGTATACCAGGTAGGGAAAAAGTGTTGGACATTACTCTCATTACCATTTCACTGTCCAACACTCTCTGAATCAATAAAAAACACTATCCTGAATTATGTTGAAAATATTAAGATTTCCTTTAAAGTCAACAATAAATTGAGTAGATCATTATGCAATAGTAAGGACCCTATTGACTTCAGCAAACGCAGTGGAGTTTATAAACTTCGATGTTCTGACTGTGATGCCACTTACATTGGTAGAACTTGTAAATCTCTAGTAACCAGAGCCATTGAACATTCTAAGTTAGAGAACACTTCTTCTTTTTCACATCATCTTAAATATCACAATCACACAATCAAGGTACCAGATGATATCTCTCTTCTTCATAACATCCCAGGTAGAGATTATCTCAAACTTGACCTTTTTGAGGATTTGGAAATAGTCAAGGAAAAGAAAAATAGTCCCAATTGTGTTAATCGTCACACCAGCATCAACAGAGACTTCGTCCCACTTCATCGACAATTATTCTCCTAATCTAACTTTCTTTCTTTTAACTACACATCCAATTTTACTTCACTTCTACATTTCTTTTGATTTCCCATAACTAAATATCAACTTACATAATCATTCATACTTAACTCTATACTTGTCACCATTAATACACTAACATCACCCCTTTGCCAATATCCAATTACCCATCCTCTCCAATAACTACCATCTCACTTATCATACACATATTCTTATAAATATTCATTTTAAATCTATCAATCTCTTATCACAATCAGTTTCAATATCTCCAGCTTACATCGTTACATTCACCTTCTATTTCCTTTTCTTGCTTTCTCTTTTATTTCTTTTTTCTTTTTCTTTTCCTGGACTAATCTTCCATAAATTACAATCCAACTTTTATATATACTCATTTAATACGACGAAACAATCAGGTAATAACATTCTTTTTATCCCATTTAAGATGACTTATTAATTTTAACCACTTAAATTTAAAAAAAATTTTCCCTACCTGGTATACCAATTTATTTTACATCGCAGTCACTCATTGATTTATATTCTCCCATCAGTTTTTTAAAAATACCAAAAATTGCTAATGATCCTACTACACACAAAACACATTTCTTCACTAAAAACTGCCTACTCACAAACTTAAGCACAATGACTTTGCTCCTACCACATCATTCCTCTTGACATTGACGGGTACTAACTGATTTTTCATACCATCTTTCTATCAGTTAGCCCTAGACTCCAACACAGATCAGAGGTAATGTAAGTCGATAAAACCGCACCAACTACAGGGGGTCATATAAGATGCCCCCAGTTTCATTTTTTAATATTACACAATTCAAGAGTCTATTGCATTTACCTGAATAAATAACATGAAGATTATTTTTTAAATCAAGATGTCCATCGAATGTTTTTTATGTGGCCACACAATGTTTTTTAACAACTTTTTATGTAAGTAGTAAAAAACCAACTTGTTCTTTTTGTATATTCAAATTTTAACTTTCTTGTTTTTAATATTGGTATTTTTACTCTCTCTTTTAGTAAACTGATGATGGAATGATACAATTCCGAAAATATCTTCCTTCCTTCCTTCTTTATTCCTTCTTTATAATAAAAAAATTTTAAGCTTTTAATAAGCGCTTTTTTTATACCTTAATACAAACGAACACCACATGCTTTGTATCAGAATATTCATAAAGAAATTTCTATATCACCAAATGGAAACATCACAAAATTGTCAGAAATCACTTTACAAACCTAATGGGCGTCAGAAGTTACAGAGAAGCAAATATTGACTCAGACCACTTCATGATAGGAGCCAAGTTTCGACAAAGAATTTCCAACGCCAAAAAAGAAAGGACACTCGACAAATAAAATTTACATATTATGATTAAATTATGAAAACATGGAGAAACAGTTCTAACCACACAAAAAAAGAAATCCTAGAACAAACCTGGGCCCTGATTCTAATTGAGATTTCGACTGAAAACATGTTGAAATCAATATGGCGACGTCGAAATGCGACTTTGCGAGCCTAGTGGATTTCAGCTGAACTAACCAAAGGACGTCACTAAATTTCGATTTATCGAAATTAATTTCAACTTCAAGAAAGTGGTTGAAATTTAATTTCGAGTCGAAATTAATCTGACATGACTAGCGGGACTGGGAGAAGCGAGGTTAGGTTCAGTTTAGGCGGTGTTGTTTTGTTTGATTGTTGCAGTGATATGTGATTGTTGCAACGAAAACTGAGGCAAAAAGTATTAATATGGCTGCGTTTTATCAGAAATTGTATGTGATTCGGCACATAATTGGTCGAAATTTTAACACCTATAAAAATAGAACTGCGGTACCTGGGGGCCCCAAGCCAGATGCTACTGATTATTTTTTAAAATATACTGTGGTGTAAAAATTAAAGAAATAAAATGTCCCAATATTAAAACTAAATTGGAAACCACAATTTTTGAATATATTCAACAGGCTGTAATGGAAGATAGAAATAAATAATTTGGTTGTAATAATTTATTTTAATTCTACACTCTTATTTGGATATATAAAATAATCTTTAACCTCATCAAGAATTTTTAGAGCGGTAATGTATTGTTTTTAGTAATACCAATACTATGCTGCAGTAAATTTAAAAATATAATATAACCACTAAGTCAAAAGCCATCATAATTTCTTTTTGGTCCACAGACAATTTAGTGCCACCAGCACCAACAGCCTCCATCCATTTTCTTTCAATTCAAAATCCATTGAGAATGGCCACTAAAAATTTAACAACTCAAACAAGAAACAAAACTCGTAAAATGTAAACAAAACAAACATTTAACAAGCGTGCAGCCAATAAACAAGACGGCCAACTCAAATTCTGAGCAGTGTCAAAATGATAAAGTAAATGTCCCCACTTTTAACTAAAATCGAAATGAATGAGAATCGCTAGCGATTGCGACTGTCATGGCGTAGTCGCTTTTAAATTTCGACATCGAAATGAACTAGAATCAGGGCCCTGGACAGTCAATTAGTCAAGCACAGAAATGTGGTACAACTGCAAGGCTTTGTAATTAGCAGCGGAAAGCATATTGAGAATATCCCGAAGCCAAAAGAGAAACGACTGGTTCAACAAAGAGTGCAAACAATTAATACATAAGATCAGCCAGGCATTTAGGACGATGCAACAATGAAGAACTAAGACCACAATAAGAAAGCCATATCAGGTATACGGACTGCAGGAAACTGTTTAGGATTAATATTTGTTTTTATTTTGATTTCAATCTAATGTACAATGAAACAAATAGAAGCATTATTTCAAATATTTCACATACTCACCTAGATTTACCATGTCAATGAAACCTTTGATTTGATCAACAGAACTATATTTCGGTTGTCTTAAAAGGGTTTCCAAAATTTCAATTGAAACATTTGATTTTATCGCAAGGTGCAACGCAGTGTTTAAGTTACTATCTGTAACAGCCAGTTTAGCATTGCATAATACTAATGCAACAGTCAAATCTTTATTATGACACATAACTGCGATATGTAGAGCTGTTAAGTTTTGGTCGTTAGTTTTATCCAATAAATGAAACGCTCTATAAACCGCTATTATTTTCAGTAACAGCATAGCCGAATCGTTATCTCGAAGAGCTGCACAGACGTGAAGCGCACTAAAAAAATATATAACTATAAACAAAATATTTACACAATATATTGTATGATAAAATATACAATAATTAGTCTAGCAAAGCTCGAAAATATATGTACAGTCCGTTACTTGCATCTTAAACGCTGCAACAACTTCACATGTTAATTGAACACTTTTACTTGTCGTCAAAAAGCGTTTCGCCCTTCTTGACTCCACCATCTTCTTCTGGCGTTCACAAACTGTGGAAATAACTATTTTCTGTTTTCAGTGACATTCACGCATAGTTACTTCTTGATTTTCAGGTACTTGGCTTAAGGTTCAATTTATACATTTTTTACACTAGTGTTTAAAACATCAAGTTTTTTAAGTCCTTGACTTTCTGTTCATTTCTACATTTAGACCATTGCATAATATATAATGAGTCTATCATCATCATTTGCTATACAACCCATGGTGGGTATTGACCTGATCAAGGATAAGTCTCAATTCTCTCCTATTCTTTGCTTTGACTTTCCAGTTTCGTACTCCCAACATTCTCAAGTCTTCCTCCACCTGATCCTTAAATCGTGCTCTGGGTCTGCCTCTCCTTCTCACTCCATCTATTCTTTGATTATACATATGTTTTGGCGGCTTCATCTGATTCATTCTCTCTATGTGACCTAACCACCGCAGCCGGTTTATTTTGATGGACATAATAATATCAGGTTTGTCATACAGTTCGAAATTATAGGGTCTACGCCATAATCCGCCCTCCTGTACTCCTCCATAGATATGCCGGAAAATTTACGTTTTTTTCTTCATCGCTGTTTGTTATCATCCATGTTTCCGAGGTCTAGGTGAGGGTGGGCTTGATAAGAGTTCTGTTTATCACTAGTTTCGTTATTTTTGTAACTAGACTTATACCGTATATAAACTCTCTTATTCCTTCGAACGTATATGTTCCGATCGTTAGATCTTTGGGTTGTGTTGCTTGTATATAATTTGATTATATATATATATATATATATATATATATATATATATATATATATATATATATATATCTATATATATATATCGGTTTTAAAACGTTCTCCTACGTCTTCCGATGCCTAGTCGCCATTCACTTCGGTCCATCCAAAGGTCTTCATCTAATTCTCTTTCTCTCATACTTCGATTTATGCCTTCTCTCCAACTAAGGCGGGGTCTTCCTCTTTTTCGTCTACCATGAGGGGTCCACGTTAGGATTTGTTTCGGGAGTCGTTCTTCGGACATTCTTTGTACGTGTCCATACCATCTAAGCTGTTTGGTACTAATGTCATCTACTATTGTGTGTTTCACATTCATTATTTCCCTAATTCTGTTGTTGGTTACCCTTTCTAATCTTGATTTTCCTGCTGAGCGCCTCCAGAAATCCATTTCTGTTGCTTCAAGTTTTCTCTTGTATCTTTCTTTTATTTGTCATACTTCACTGCTGTAAGTGATTATACTCTTAACAATTGTATTGTATATTCTATGTTTGTTGTTGTTTGATATTGCCTGGTCCCACAGTATGCTATTGAGAAGGGTAATTGCTTTTCTTCCCTGGTTGTTTCTTTCTTCTATCGTCCGGTCTACGTTTCCTTCTTGTGTGATGGTCATACCCAGGTATTTATATGCGTCGCAATGTTTAATAATTTCGCCATTCCCCAGTGTAAGGTCCTGCTGTGTCCCACCGATACACATATATTCGGTCTTTTTTATGTTTATTTCCAAACCACCTTTTTTGTACTCCTCTATTAATTTCCTTGTCATATATTCTATATCATCGTAGTCTTGCGCTAGTACAAGTTGGTCGTCTGCAAATGACAAAGTGTATGTTGTATTGTTGTTGATCGGTAATCCCATGTTTTTGCATTTGCGTTTCCAAAGTTTTAGAGTTTGCTCGAGGTAGATCTTAAATAATGTCGGTGAAAAGCAGCACCCTTGTTTTAGGCCTTTGCTAATTTGGAATCCTCTCGATAGCCCGCTTCCAACTTTCACCCTTGCTGCAGTTTTGGTATACAATTGTTTCGTCGCTGTTATTAAATTTGCGCTTATATTGGTTTTCTCTAATGCTTCCCATAGTTTGTTTTGTGGGATGCTATCATACGCTTTTTTCAAGTCCACATATAACAGATGCACCTCCTGGTTGACGGCCAGTTTCTTCTCAATAATCTGTGTAATACAAAACAGATCTCCCTACAAAACAGGTCTACCGTTGATCTCCCTGCCCGGAATCCTGCCTGTTCTTCAGCTTCTATATCTTTATATTCGTTTTCGATTTTATTTTTAATCAGTTTTCCGTATATTCCGCTGATCGAGTTCGTTACAGCGATGCCTCTGTAGTTGTCACATTGATCCCGTCTGCCTTTTTTATGTATGGTGGATATCCATGATAAAAAAGATTCTAACAGAGCAACCTGTGGGAATGAGACGACGGGGTAGACCAAAGCTGAGGTGGATGGATGGGGTAACACAAGATGCGGAGAAGATCGGAGTCGGCAACTGGAAAATTCAAGCAAGGGACAGAACAGAATGGCGTAGAAAGCTTGAGAAGGTCGAGGCCCTCTAAGGGCTGTAGCACCAAGATGATGATGATGATGATGGATATCCATGATGTCTTCCATTCTTCTGGGATTTCCGTTCCGTTGATGTATCTTTGAAAGAGTTTAGCCAGGTTTAGCCAGATGGAATGCTGAATTCCATCATGGCCTTGTACAGTGCGTTTCTTTCAACACTATCATAGGCACATCTAAAATCAACAAACACGTGATCACTATCAATGTCATACCCATATGTTTTTTCCAGAGCTTGCCTTAGAAGGAATATTTGATCGGTCGTTGATCAATCTTTACGAAACCCACACTGATATTTACCTATTATGTCTTCACAATATCCCGATAGTCGGTCGAAAAGAATATATGCCAATATTTTGTATGTTACGTTTAGGAGGGTTATTCCTCTGTAGTTGTCATATATTGTTTGATCTCTTTTCTTGTGGATAGGTACAATTATACCTACATTCCATTCTTCTGGCAACTTTATTTGCTTCCAGATCAGTTCTACCAGTTTATGTCAGGTTTTTTTGCCATGCTTTAAAAGTTCTGAAGAAATGCCATTTGCTCCAGGATCTTTGTTTCTTTCAATTTCTGTATAGCTTGGATAATTTCTACCCTGTTGCGATGTTATCTTTCTCTCTTTCATCGTCAATATCCTCGAGTTGAATTTCTGATTCGTAAAGTCCTGTTATATTTAGCCTTCCCTCGAAGTTTTCTGCCCATCTTTCTAATATCTGGTCCTGATCACCAATGATCTCCCCTGTTCTATTTCAAACGATTGATAATCTAGGTTTGAATTCATTCCTGTTATGGTTAATCCTCTTTTAGAACTTTCGCGTTTCTGCTTGTGCCTTATAGTTCTCTAGTTGTTTTAGTTAGCTCTCTATATGCTCTTTCTTTTTTTTTAAGTATTCGTTTTTCTTCTTGTCTCAGCTGCCTATACTCTTCCTCTGTTTGTCTCGTTCTTCGCCCTTGGAGTCTTCTATATGCCTGATCTTTCTTTGCGTATATATGGTGATGTATAGATAGGTATATATAAGGAGTAATACATATTCCTCATATTCCTAAGAGGAACATAGGGCATCCACGAAGTATCTCCAGCGAATTCTATTTTTTCGTTAGTCTTTAGATTCCAATACAGGATTTTCCCACATCTTTCCTTCGTACAGTACTGTCCTTTTCCAAGTTTTTCTTAGGTCTGATTATTTTCCTTCGGCCTTGAGGATTCCAATAGGGTGGAAATAACCTTAAGCAATATTCTGTACTTAATTTACTAGATCTATAGACGTAATAAAATAAATCCTGACAAAAAAAATATCCTGAAACATGCAAATACACGAGTAATTCAAAAATGACTTACTTGGTACAGTTATCTGCATTAAAATACTTGTTTAACATAGAAACTGCATTAACTGCTGTATGTGTAGTCCTTATAAAACTTCTAAATTCATTGACTACTGATATCGCCATTTTTATGTCTTCTTTTGAAACTTCCATTTTAATCGGTGCATTAAGTTTCAATTCAGGCCGCTTTCTTACCGGTACAGAACTGCAAAAAATAATGAAATATAATGTATTTGCAGAAATATAAGTTTAAACACGCATATTCCACATAAATATTTCTAGAGAAACTGCGATAAAACATACAAAATAAAATTTATAACTTCAACCTTTGTATTGAGTCTGTGTACGCCTGGACCCAGTAGTAAAATTAAAAAAAAGGTTAATCTTCGTAAATGGGTATATTTAAAAAACCCTTAAAAGGGCTACACCAAAAACAAACGTTTTCGGAATAAAACATTTCATCATCAGGTTAAAAAATGCCTAAAATAAGTATAAAGTTCCGTATAAAGATCCGTTTGAAGAGGTTTACTTTCCGGACACTGGAACTCACTTCAACCATGGGTGTATGTTCCCTGAAGTCAAATTTAATTTAATATTTAACATCACATATTTATAACAACATTATGTACAATCTTTTACAACTACATGTAATTTAAAAGGTTTTTACCCTGATATTTTGGTGGCATGTTAACCTTGTAAGTATAACCATTTTTGCTTTTTAACCCTATTCAAAATTTTAAACCACGTTTGCTTTAACTAAATGGTTTATACTTATTTTAGGCAATTTTAAACCTGATGATGGAATGTTTTATTCCGAAAACGTTTGCTTTTTTGATGTAGCCCTTTTAAGGGTTTTTTAAATATACCCATTTACGAAGATTAACCTCTTTTTGTGATACGTGGTATACAGCCAGCTACAGGAATTGTTTTCCTTATCAATTTTAAAATTCAAATGTTTATACGTGATGTTTTATGATATTCTTAAGATAAGGTTTATATACAATTTAACGTATTTGGGTTTTGAAATATCAGTTTGGTTTTCTCTAAAATTAAAGAAACACATCTGTTTTTTATGGGTCCACCTGTATCCAGAAGTGTTTCCAAATGTACGTGATGTTTTTTTTGTTTATTTTTCTGAGAAGGTTGATTAGATTATAGGTTCTATTTTCGGAAGCGTTTGTTGAGTACCTTTAGTTTTGTACCAGACTTAATCGCTTGAAGTTTAGAGTTGAGAGCATGGTGTACTATCATTTATCAAAAACAGAATAATAAGTGCTTGTTGAAAAAATGAGCTACAGGAGAGGACTCAGGGAAGAGGAATTACGAAAAATCCTTGAAGAAGACTCAGACAATGAAGATGAATCTACCAATTTAGAAACCGTCACTAGTGATGAAGAGTTAGTAGATGAAGAAGACTATTATATAGTCGTAGTAGTAAGTATATTATAGCTCTATATACAGTATATCTGATGTAGTTGACAAGAACTTCATTAATGGCTATTCCAGCTGACTGATCTTCCAATGCTTTACGGAAAATTATATTTATGATATACTCAGAGTATGACTGAATAGTATTGGCGACATAATACATCCCTGTCGTGAACCCTTCCGAATACTATTTTCACTGGCACATAGCCTTCTAGTCTTGCCGTTTGATTTTTATATAACCTTGATATTATTTGAACATCCTGATAATCAATTTTATTTATTACAAGGTTTTTACTAGCTGGTCGTGCTGGACATTATCAAAGGCCTTAGTATAGTCAATGAAGCAAACAACTTCAAACAATTCAGACTTAAAATCAAATTTAATAACTTTACAAAACGAATTAAAGGTACATGAGAATATTTAATCTGAATATTCAGAAAATTACTGCATTTTGGCTAGATAATAACCTATAAAAATAACCTATAACAGATGATCAGGTAGTCGTAGCGAATTATGAGGAAGACATGGACTACATGTTTAGAAAACTAAAGAAAGAATATGAAAAATTGGGCCTCAATACGAATATGTCAAAGACGGAGTATCTTAAAATAGGAGATGACGAAGAAGATCCAGAGTTAGAAACACAAAAACATGCAAGGAATATCAATATCTCGGATCTATAATATCTAAATAAGGCACTACCAAAAGAGACATCGAAAACAGAACGCAGCAGGGAAAAAAAGTGGTTAACATTCTAAACTCTCTACTTTAGTCTAAAGGTATTAGACAAGAAACGAAAATGACAATCTATCGAACCTTGGTAGAGCCTATTATGACTTACGGGGCAGAAGTTTGGCAGATCACGAAAAAAGATAGAAAAATAATAGAAGTAGTAGAAATCGATTTCTAAGGAAAGCGTGTGGTGTATCCAAAAAAAAATCATATCAGGAATGAAGATATTAGAAGGAGGACAAATACTGTATATTTCAGTGTAGACAGAATTAAAACGAGACAACTAGTGTGGTATGGTCACGTGAAGCGAATGAATGAAGATAGATGGCCAAAGAAAGTTTTAAATTACATAGCACAACAAAGAAGAAGTTTGCCTTCAGTTGCCTGGCAAAAAAATGTACGATACCTAATGAGAGATAGAGCCATCAAAGAAGACGAATGGATGGACAAGAGAACGATGGTGGTCGAAATGGGAGAGGTGACAGAGCCTGTAGGAACCTATATATATATATATATATATATATATATATATATATATATATATATATATATATATATATATATATATATATATATATAATAACCTATAAAACTGTAAAAAATGTTCGTAAAAATTATATTTTATATAAAGTAACCTAATGTAGTCTAAGATTCCACTGCTAGATCACTACGTTGATGACAGCCATTGATACTAGGTTGCCAGTCCAAAAGTGGCCGCACATGGTTTTAATTCAATTAATAATTAATTTTTGAACAAAAATTTGTTAATTTATGTTTGAAATCAAATACGCTGCTGATGACGTAAATTATTATCGTTAAAATTTTTATACCAAATTAAAGCTAATTTGTTTTTAAATATAATATAAGGTTATCTGAGAAAAACTGGTCTCAAATTAGTGTTGACAGCTGTTAAAAAGACGAGGTTATAAAAAAAAAACACTCAATAAAATAGAGCTAGCGCGCTACACCACTGGTTTGACATGGTAGTGCCAGTTATGTAAGTTTTTAAGGCATATGTCGATAGATAGTGTTAATAATATACATATTACCACTTGTCAAACCAATAACCTTTGTATGGAGTTGAAGCTTGGACACCTAAAAAATCCAACATTAAAAACCTAGAAGCATTCGAAATGTGGTGTTACCGACGTATTTTGAAAATATCATGGATAGATCGTAAAACAAACGAACAAGTTCTCGAACAACTAGGAAAACAATTCGAAATTTAAAATTCCATAAAAATCGGGAAATTGCAATACTTGGGGTACATCATGAGAGGTAAAAAATACGAACTACTAAGGAATATAATGCAGGGTAAAATCAAAGGTAGAAGAAGTGTAGGAAGACGTAAAATCTCGTGGCTACGCAATCTCCGTGAATGGTTTGGATGCAGTTCAATTGAACTATTCAGGCGCGTAACCAATAAAATTGTAATTGCTAGAATGATTTCCAATCTCCGATAGGAGTGGAACTTGAAGAAGAAGAAGAAACCAGTGTCGTTGCCAGAAGCTTTTTTTTTAACAGCTGGCAACCCTAATTTGCGACCCTTTTTTTCTGAGGCAACCTTATATCATCATATTAAAAATAGCTTTAATTTGATATAAAAATATGTAAAATATGCGCGTTTGATTAACTACGTTATGGGCGTAGTGATCTTGCAGTGGCAACTAAACGCAGTTTCATAATAATTACTTAAAAACATACTTAGCGTTAACTCCATCAGTAGCTAAATTCTCTAGCATTGCATTATATTCATCACCGTGAACGTCATGTAGTTTTTTGAACTCGTCAGAGTTTATATCAGCTAGAGCTCGTTGGATCTCTTCACTTAGACCGCTTGGAATGTTATTGAAGGACATATGAACGTCCGGTCCAATTTGAAGGGTATTGATTACCGCTGGTAATTCTTCACTTCCTACATTGGAACTATCGTAGCTCGATGATGAGTAGTCGTATCGTGGACGCTTTTGTCCAGGTTTAACATGTTTTTTATTTGGTATATATCTAAATTCCCGTGCTTCTGACCGAGCTTGGTCCGACGGTCGTACCAATTCAACGAAGACATTGACTGGAGACGTGATGTTTTCATCTTTATACTGCGGTGTCCTGAAAGTAAAACAGATTAAAATAGTGATGAATCGCATCTTAATTTTTAAAAGCGAATACCAAAGTTTGTTTATAATTAGAGTTTGAATTTGTTCCAACGGAAATAATTATAGAAAAATTCCGAAAAAAATTTAGAACGAAACATTTACGTTACCCGAACATTTGATCCTAAATTCTAGGAAAATATCATGTCTACAACAATTGAGAAAAATCAAATTGTTTGCAACTAAATTTCCTATCAAAAGTTGCTTTTCCAATTAAAAAAAGGAACACGTGAAAACCAAAATTCACAAAAAAAGTTACAAAAAATAACGAAAATATGCTTACAGGAAATCCGAAAATTCTGAAACTTTTCCTGTATTTTAAACTACTATTTAGCAGGATTTGTATTATAATATTCTATAGAAAATGTCACACTGAGAGTGCAGTACGGGTAAGATACGGCAATGCTTTTCTTATGGAGAATAAACGCGCAGGGTTGTCGGTTTTCTCCAGCTGTTGATTGCTCATTGTCTCACAGGACCGGCTTGGATAAAATGCATCTGCCGGCAGTACGAGTAAAATATTTTATATCATGTATACACGTATACAGTAGAATAAAAAGGCATTGATGAGTTATTGACAACGAAAACTATGAATTTTGCATATAAAACGTCAACATGAGATATACAATTGAATCATATTCATAAGAGTAACATTTGAACACCTCTTTACAAGAACAACATACAATAACTGTAGCTTTAATGTTTTACATAAAATAGAAAAAACCTACATAATTTCTAGGAAAGAATTTGGAAACTTGGAAATGATATTATTTATAGATATTATGTATAATATTCAAATTTGCAATTCTTTCATAGAAATTAGATTTTTTCTATTGTATGTAAACTATTAAAAATACAGTTATGTTGTTTCTATAAATAGGTCTTCATTTCTTTTGTAAAACTTTTGCTACAAATTACCATCATTAACATAATCACCTAAATATGGCCATAAACTTGTTTGTCATAAGTAGTATTTGATAAACTCCAAGCTTTCCCTATTTCACCCCCTACCCATCCTAAGGATGGGTAGGGAGTGAAAGTGCTTTTGGAAAACGAAACTACACTTCAAAATTTAGTCCGAGTTTCAACAGAGAGCATGAAGTTCCATAAGCTTAAATCCGGTGAATTATTTAATGGTTGCGCTAAACTCGTAGTGTTAAATGTGTTGTGTTTTTTACAAAATACCGAACAACTTAATGTAAGTGCTGCTGTAAGGCGTACTTCTTTGACGACTGGTGTTAGCGAAAGAAGCATTTACAATTTCAAAAAAGAAAAAGAACAGAGTGGAACGTTGAAATCGCCAAGAAAAACGTAAAAAACGAGTGTGTCAATCAAATTCTAGAATATTCACATATGACGAGGGTGTAAGAAGTATTCTACGGAGAATTGTTCATTGTGAATTTTTCATGAAAAATTTGCCGCCATTCTTAAAGCATATACATAACTTCATACAAGGTAATGAGAATATACAGCCGTTGTCTGTTTCTACTTTATACAGACTTCTGAAAGATATTGGATTTGTTTATAAGAAACGTGGCCGAAAAAGCATCAGGTTGGAGCGAGAGGATATTATTCATTGGCGCCAAAATTATTTGAGAACTATACGACGTTTGCGAAAAGATCATTGCAATATCATATATTTGGACGAATCGTGGGTTAATGTTGGCCAATCTATAAATTACGAATGGTGCGATACTACGATACAAAACAGTCCTGATGCTTTTCTCAAAGGTTTAAAAGCACCTACTAAACCAGGTCCACGATATGTTTTATTGCATACAGGTTTTTCAGGAGGTTTCCTTCGTGGCACACAGCGTGTTTTTCTGGCAAAGAAAATGATGGCGACTATCACGATGAAATGGATGCCGCATATTTTGAGTCGTGGTTTAAGGAGACATTAATATCAAATTTACCAAATAATGGTCGCAGGAATGTCATTGTAATGGACAATGCATCGTACCACTCCCGTAAAGAGAGATTCCCTAACAATTCCTGGAATAAAGCTGCAATCAAGGAATGGCTAGTGGAAAAGACATTTTTTTCGAGGAGTGTTATTTGAAATCCGAGCTATTAGAAGTAGCGCGTGTTTTTAAAGATCAATACGATTAATATCATCTTGATGAGTATGCTTCACAACATAATGTTTATATTTTAAGGCTTCCTCAATATCACTGCGAATTGAATCCTATAGAGATGGTGTGGAACCAAGTTAAGCGATATGTAGGTACCCATAATACCACTTTTAAAAACGACGAGGTACGCCAGTTGATCGACGACGGTTTCGCACGCGTCACAGAGCAAAATTGGCGCAATTATGTCACTCATGTTGTTGAGAAAACAGAAACTGAGATGTGGACTGCGGACAACCTGCAAGATGACGTAGACCAATTGATAATACACGCTTTTATCAAATCAAATTTATCAAGCCCATACGTTGATATCAGAGTATGGGCTTTTCTGATATTGGGCTGGGTGCACGGAAATCGAATTCCCGGAGGTTCCACCCTGTATATTTATAGCTATCAAGAAATGTAATTTAAAATATATTTGTTAGTTTAATAAAGTATAAATATAATATAATGTTAAATAATTTACACTATAAACATTATACCTGCTCATCTGGTCAAGTGTGGGCAAGGAAAACCATTATCCCATATGGAATAACACAAGGTTTCGCTGAAAACTAACAGGTTGCTATGCCAAGGAACTAGGTAAACTTATGTTGTGTGAAAAAAATGCGAGACTGCATTATGTTTTAACAAGGACAAAAACTGCACTTCAGATTTCCACAAAAAAAAATTTCATAGTAGGTGTTAAAATTTCGCAGTGATTCAAGTGCGCAACTTGTTTTTTAATAACATCGCCGGGATTAAAAAATGTGCAAAGCTTTTTCGATATTCCCGTTACTGATAATTTTTCACATATTTACAAAAGAAAAAGTTTTTCTTGGATATTGGGCTGGGTGCACGGAAATCAAGTTACCGGAGGTTCCACCGGGTATATTTATAGCTATCAAGAAGTGTAATTTAAAATACATTTGTTAGTTTAATAAAGTATACAGTTTTATAATAAAATTCTAGCTAAAAACTTAAGGTCTTTTTATTCAAATGCATGCCTCTTATTTGCCTACTTGAAGGCAATTATTTTATCAATATATTATTTTATAATAAATAACAGAGCCCGGCGTAGAGATCTGGGTACGGTTCTGTGACTATCACTTGGACCTGTTTGTATCGCCAAGCACAAGGCGTGAAATCCGGCAATTGTGCATTCCTATATTAGCCGTACTGCACTCTCGGTGTGACATTTTCTATAGTTAAAAATAATCAAAAATAAGCTATATTGGAAACATAATAATTGTAAACTGTTGTATAATGCGTTTTGATCTACTTACTTGAATACAATCGCATACTGGTGGTGTACATCCAAATCATTAAATTGGCCCCAGCCTTCCCAAACAACATTTTCGTCGTCGTCAAGTTCATAGAATCGAATTTTAATATTTTCTACAATATAAAAACAATAATGTAAAAGCGTTCATAACAAATTATTCGTTTTTTACTCATTGGCTCTGGCTTGGAACCTCTAGCCACGTAATTACATATGAATATTAGTATTCATTCATACAAGATTGTACAAGGACACTTTTCACACTGACGGATTCATCAGAGCGGCTTTATTGTAACAAACAACATATAAACCATGGTTAGGTAGGTGGGCAACATGTATGGTAAACATACAAAGGAAATGTTCAAGCATGCGATCAATTTTACACTCATACCTTTAATTTAATTTTTACAAGAAATATCATGATTTTAAAAAAATTTATATTCTCTACACTACATTCGAGAAAAAAATACTGAGGAAAGTACATAGCCCGGTACAAGAGGAAGGTGGCACATGGAGAATCAGGAGAAACGACGAGGTTAATGAGTTAAATGAAGGTTATGACATTGTCAGATTTGTGAAAAGTCAAAGACTGTCACGGCTGGGACAGGTGCAGAGACAAAACGATGCAAAAACAACAAGAAAATGTTACAATGGAAGCCCATAGGAAGGCGAAAAAAAGGAAGGCCCAGAACGAGATGGTTGGATGACGTGGAAGACGACCTGAAAACAATGAACATAAGACAATGGAGAAGAAGGCACAAGAGAGATCTGAATGGAAGGACATAGCCAGACAGGCAAGATTTACGTTTAATGGTGTACTTAAACCCTCTTTTATCAATTCTTTAGCAGCCACGTGCTTTAGCAGCCTATTTTTGTAGATGTTTCGGAAAACATCCATGATCTACTTTTAATCTTAAGACAGTTGACACTGTGTTTCTGCTTAGTGTAACATCTTTGTAAAATTGTTTTACAGCTACTGTTGGTTGTAATTTGAATAAATTGTGCTTTCCTGTGCCTGTGCTTTCACCAAACTGAATCCATCGTCTGTCCCATTATATTTAATATGTTGTTTGATATAGGCAAGTAGGTCACATGTGTTGAATTCTTCATCACCATATGTGGGTGCTGTAATGAATTTTAGCTATAGAATCAGCAATAGTACTGCCAAAAATATCCTGAGTGTCACTTAACCCATACAAATTTAACACCATATGGATCTGATAGTTTTAGTAACTGTTGAAAAATTTTTAATATGAATATTGTTTTACAACATCACTGTTCACAATCAATCATCTATTGATTGTGAATCACTGCATATGACAATTTTGTTCCACTGGTTTTCACAGCACAATTCAATGCTTCAGCAGAAAAGATGCTGGATTGGTTATTTAAAATAAACGATTTTTTAATCTTCACTTTTGGTACAAAGTAAGCACTGGTTGTACATTTTGGTGATTTTGACCCGTCTGTATAGATCACAATATGGTCTGGATAGCCACTTAGATTTCTTCGTGAGTAGTGTAAAAAAATTCGTTTTGGTATTTAGGAATAATAAGATTTGTAGCTAGAACACTTGTTAGATGTGGTATATCCAACGATTCTCAGATAAGATTACAAGGGGAGTTTATTAACTTGAGTTTGTTGTAAGTTATAATTGCTCTTGCAAGAGGTGGAGAGTTTTTTTTTATGAAGTATGTGGACGTTAATTCAGCTGTATTTAATTAATTATTTTTGAATTAAAGTGCCACGATAATGTTGGTTTAGGAGTTTACCTACTATAATTATTAGAGATTAAATTCAAATAGATCATACTTACTTTTGGTGACTCTTTCAACTAATATGAAGATTTCCTTATTTCCTTTTGCTTCGCTAACGACATGATCTAGTCTAACAATTTTAAGATCACCAGTTAAGGCGCTCTCTAGTAAAATCAGACAAAAGTAAATATTAGGTTAGGTTAGAAAACATATATGATTTAATATAATATAGCTCGTCTGTTATACACTCACCAACATTAATAAGCAATATTCGATAACAGCATGTTATCGTGTGTTTTTGGATAATATAAGTGGCTTCCACGTCCACTCTTGGATGCTACAATGTATACCAGGTGCCAAAATAATGTAAAATATTTTTGTCGTTCAATATTAAGATTAAAAGGTCTATAATGTTTAAAAGTTTAAAATCGAAATTAAAAAAAATTATGATTCAAGATGAACAAAAATGTTTTTTTTTCAAATTTGATAAATTATTTTATTTTAGAATTATTTATCTTTAACTATTTTCTATTTTCACATTTCAAAAACTAATAAAAAAACCTATGTGCAATTTTTTGGTCCGTAAGTATTCTAGCACATTTTGACAGTGAAGCGCCAATAGTAGCATCAATATGGTGCATGTATCGACAGGGAGATCACCTGGACTTCTTTTGCCTTTTAAATTTCCCTTAATGGTATGCTCAATACCCATGGTATTCTCAACACTCGCCTGCAGCACCTCTCAAATGCATCTAGAATCTGTGTTATCTTTCTCCATAAGGGTCCTGCATTCCCCATAATGATGAAAGAGAAGAATTGTCATTAGAAATCACCGAGAATACTGGACCACCAATATTAAGAGAAGAAGTTATCTATGCCATCAAAAACACAAAAGAGGGTAAAGCTACTGGACCAGATGATGTGCCCATCGAATTATTAAAACTCATCGATGAAGATGTTATTGATGTAATGGTTGAACTTTTTAATCTAATATATCAGACTGCTACAATCCCCAGACAATGGCTGCAATCGACCTTTGTAGCAATTCCCAAAAAGCCAAGTGCAACAACTTGCTCAGATCGCAGAACAATAGCTTTAATAAGTCACACACTTAAAACATTTTTGAAAATAATTCACAGCAGAATTGTTAAAACTCTTGAATATGAAATTAGTGACACAATTTGGCTTTAGAAATGGTATGAGTACAAGAGATGCTTTATTCGGCTTGAATGTGCTGGCTCAAATATGCATGGACATAAATCAGGACATGTATTTATGATTTGTAGACTTTGAAAAGGCATTTGATAAGGTTCAATATAAAATGCTTGTAGATATATTGAAAAGCAAAAATATTGACAGTCGTGATATGAAAATTATATCTAATTTATATTGGAATCAAACTGCCAACGTAAGAGGAGTCCGCCAGGGTTGCGTGCTGTCCCACTACTTTTCAATGTCTACAGTGAAGCGGTATTTCAAGAAGCGCTCTCAGACTCAATAGAAGGTATATCTATCAATGGAGAAGTTTTGAATAACTTACGTTTTGCAGACGATACAGTAATAATGACGGATAACAACAATGATTTACAGAACGTAATGCAACGCCTTAATGAACGCTGTCATGAGTACGGACTGAAGATAAATTTAAAGAAAACTAAATGCATGATCATGACTAAATCTGCACATGCAAATATACAACTGACTATTGAGGATACTGCAATTAAGAGTGTTAATAACTAGAAATACTTAGGAACATGGATAACATCAGATGTAGACCAAACCAAAGAAATTAAGACACGTATTGAAATAGCACGTGCATCATTCATTAAACTTTAAAAGTTTCTTTGTTGTCGGGATATACGGTTAGAACTACACCTGAGAATGCTTCGGTGTTACGTGTTCTCTACTCTACTTTATGGCTTGGAAGCGTGGATACTAAAACAAGTCCATCTGAATAAGTTGGCGGCCTTTAAATGTTGGTGTTACAGAAGAATCCTACGAATATCATGGATTCAAAGAATGTCAAACGTGGAAGTAACTAGAAGGATAGAAATGAGGCGAAAATAATATTAACTATCAAAAGACGAAAACTTGAGTACTTAGGACATGTGATGAGAGGGCAAAAATACGCATTAGTACAACTTATTATGCAAGGCAAAATCCGAGGAAAGCAAAATGTGGGAAGACGAAGAATATCCTCACTTAAGAATGCAGTAGTGCAGAACTTTTTAGAGCGGCAGTTAACAGAATCCGCCTAGCCATGATGAGCTTTTTTGAAATTGCTGACAGGTGCTTTATTTCTTCAGTACAACCCTACTTGTAGTTATTAAAGAGCCTAGATACACAAATTTATCTACAATAGCGAAATTGTTTATTACGCTTATATTATTTTCATTGTTGTTAGCTCTGTCATTATTTCTTCCATTTTCACTATAATCTAATTGCGGTTTAGGACTACATAAATACAATATTTGGCATAAATACACTGGCGGGCAAAAAATTTAGGTCACATTTAAATTTTGTATGTTTGAAGTAATAATTTGTTTACGGTTGTATCGGTTTCTTAGTAGGCTAGGCGCTAATATTGCTTTCCGAGAAATGATCATTTGTTATTGTTATCTGTCAGTACAGTCACGTATTTACGACGTTTACGACTTTTTATAAAATATCTGCATTCACTCTAGTGGAACCTTTACAGTTAATTGCCAATTTTTCAATTAAGTGACATATTTTTTTATTAAAACGCAGTGATACAATATATTGTTAATGTTGTATATCTAATGAACATGTTAATGTTGTATACCTTTAGATCCTGTCATAGTGGCAATAGCATAGATACAAAATGGCTGTTTTACAACATGAGAAGAGGTGAGAAATGTTAATGTTGGTGAATGGACCGTTAGGAGAAGGCTTCGAGCTATCTTGTCTGGATTATCTTGATTATCTAACAGAAAGATGGCTACAGACAAGACAGATTTTGCAGAGACTCACCTCACATTAAAATATTGTAAATTGGAGCAACGTACTGTTTTCAGATGAGTCGCATTCTTGTCTCAATGAGTTACAGGGACGTCATCGGGTATGGAGAAGATGCGGAGAAAGATATGCTGCGGCTTGTATTAATAAGAATAAGTGATTCCGATTTGGCGGTGGGTCGGTTATGGTCTGGGCAGAAATTACTTCACAAGCACGCAGAGCTAGTCTTCATACAAAACGGCTCCCTTACGGCACACAGATACATTAAGAAGTTTTAGATTATCATTTTATGCCTTTCATGACTATTGTGGGCAAACATGGCATTTTCATACAAGGTTATGCTAGACCCCATACTGCCAGAGTTGTCAGAGAATATTTTGATAAAGTGGGAATTGGCGGTTTGATTGGCCACCACTCAGGAGTACATACACAAGATCCAAGAACTGCCCAGGAGCTACGATAGTTGTTCCTGCAAGAATGGGAAACATCGACCAGAATGTAATCCATAATTTAATTTAAAGTATTCCTCGTCGCCTATAAGCTGCCATTAATGCAAGGGGGGTAAATACACGCTATTGGTGAATATTTTTTGTTTTCTTTTCAGTTTCTTAACAATAAGTCGCACTTAGTTTTAACTGTAAACTTATTACATACTTCTAAATAAAGCTCAAAAACCAAAATATTGGTATTAATTCAATATTATTTATTACTTAGGTTAATTTACAAAATACAGTACCAATTATTTGCAACCGCAAATAGAAGTTTACAACCGAAAATGTAACGAGATATCAAAATTTCAATGTGACCTAAATTTTTGGCCCGCCAGTGTGTATTATATACATAACACACAACTTAAACATTGTGTGTGTTGAAGAAATTAAGCCTAAAAATATTTATATCAAAAAAATTGAAACCCGGGTACCTTTTTACTATTTTAGTCACATAAAGGTTAAAAGGTTCTCAGATATTTCAAAAATAAATATTTTGTTTACATCTTCATAGTGAGTCATTATTATTAGAACGTATCGTATGTATGTGTGAGGGGTTTATTATTTTACTGTAAAAATTTTTTACCTACTCTACATAATATATGCGATTTTGCTATCGACTATTATTACTGACCTGCTGAGTAAGATCTATAAAAGAAGTGGTATTCGTTGGTGTAGTATAACAGACGTAAATATATTAAGTTTCACTGATCAATTATTTCATTTTTTCTAGGATCTGCAATTTTCCTTTAGCTATATTTTGCGTTTCTAGTTAAATTAGCTAATCTTGTAATTTATTATAGTATTCAAGTTAAATTTAATTTTATTGTTAATGTTATTAATAATACAAAATATGTCACAGTTACAATTGAAAATTTTTAAACCCTGCCTTTATTGAATTTGTTTCATCTAACAAATAACACAAGTTTTCTTCGAAAACAAAAATGTATATTTTTTAAGAATCTCCGATTTGCTCATTGTACTCTATCTACAAATTGTGTAGATATAAAAGGATAACTCTGAAGTTTAGGATAAACGCAGACGCTTCAATCGTTTCGTTTGGATTTTCTATGTGACTTGTAGTAAATTAGAATAGTACTTACTGCTTCAATGATCAAGAAACCAGGCAAAAGATCCTTCGGATTATGGTGAAAACATGTCAAAAAGGCATGAAAAACAAACAATTCACCTTTTATTTTAGAGTGAGAGAGTAGCACCTAATATTTTTAGCGATTATACTTATGTTTATAACTGAAGTGTAATTGGAAGAGCTGTAAAAGGTTCTAAGTAACTACAATAACGGAAGAAAAGGAGAACATGGAGACAATTATGTGGAGGCATCACCAAATTTAGTCATCACGATATGTCTTGAAGTCGTATCTTATCTTAACAAAGCACTTATCTTAAAAAACAACTCCAACAGCATTCGACAAATTAAAAAGCCAAAGAAGTTTACAGTAACTAAAGAAGGAAAACATAAACTGCCTTTTAAATGTAAGCTGCCTCTCTCCTGGTGTAAGATTTAGTGAAGATGAAGCAAATACGGAACTTCATGAATCTACAGTATTAAGTTCAAGATGTTCAAGATAAGTTTCATCTTAGGATGTATTTCAAAAGAATGGATATAGATAACTTTCCTATGGGTGCTAGAGAATAAAAAAATTGCGGGTAAAGAAATTGCTGATAATTTTATCTCCAGTGAAAAAAGCAAAATTTAAAAATGTTCCGGTATTACAACATTGCATGTAGTGTACACAAGTACATACAAATTAAAAAATAAAATCAAAATGCATCAACTTATAGAACTGGAGATACAGATACTTACAGTATTTTTAAGTCAATTTTCATTGTTTGAACGATTAATTTTTAGATTTCCTTTCTACACGGTCCGACTAATCTTCATTTCAGCCTCATTGTTAACCCTTAACTGATGACGTCGTGGAGTTCAAACAACGCTTCACATTTTCTCCACTATTGATCCAAACGAGTGGTGTCGTACAGTACCTTCAGGTAGTAAGGAGATCTCCATTATGCTTATGCAAAAATGCGAAATCGCGATCAGTTGCGTAGAAGTTATCGAATAGAACACATTAGAGTCCGAGGGACTCTACGACGTAGTTTGTGATAGTTTTTATTTCAATGTCGGTTTCTAAAAGTAAAAAAAAGTGTGCATCCAGACGATGCTAATTTTAAAGAAATTGTTGGGCGATGGCACGAAGAGGCCGATAGTAATTTTCCGACCAAGATGGTGACGACACGCCAAACAGTAAACACGAAGAACAAATTTTGAGTAACCATAGTTCTGAGAGCGAATTTTATGCTAGCGATACTAACGATGGTCAAGCGGACGAAAGTCAGGAGTCTGATGAAGATTCAATGAATGAAGTGGATCCAAACAACACTTTTATGAAAAAATAGGTACAAATGGGCATAAGTTGAACCTACTCGCAATGAAAACCTGCTTCTAATTTATTGAGATTACCTACTATCAAAGGATCAATGAATTTGGGCCTCTGTTATTGACACCAGTCTTCAAGTCTAACCATGAAGACATCAACGCACTGTTTGCTACTGATGGTACAGGGAGAGAAATATTTCGAATGGCATTCTCAGCACGTAGATTTGCTGTACTGCTAATATGCCTGCGATTTGATACACAAGAAGAAAGAGCGAATCGAGCTAAAACTGATCCAATTATCGAATTTCCCACATTTTAAAGATATTCAACCAAAATTTTCAAAACTCTTATGTACTAGGTGCTAATACTACAGTCGATGAAGTGCTAGTCGGTTTTCGACAGCGATGCAGGTTTAAAATGTATATACCTAGTAATCCCGAAAAGTATGGAATAAAGATTCAATGTTTAGCAGATGATCGCACCCACTCCACTATGTATACAACACTTATCTATATTCTGGAAAAGGATCTTATGCATTAAAGGATTTGACTGCAAAAGAAAAAACTCTCTATTCCCTCCCAAGCAGTGGTTTGCCTTTGCAAGCCGGTCTTTGGCAGTAATAGAAATATTACAGGCGACAACTGGTACACAATAGTGAAATTTGTAGATGTTTTATTAAATAATAATTTAACATGTTGGCACTATGAAAAGGAATAAGAGAGAAATTCCTAAGGAGTTCCTACCATCTAGATCAAGATCTGTAAACTCAACTTTATAGGGATTTACAAAAACTAAAACTATAATCTCTCGAGTGCCAAAGAAAAATAGGACTGTTCTTTTAATATCCTTGCTGCATCACACGAAAGAAGATGATGTCGAAACTGGGTTACCGGAAATAAATGCCTTTAATAACAATACAAAAGCAGGCATAGATTCAGTAGACGAAAAATGCACAAAATACTCGTGCAGTCGAAGAACCAAGCGCTTGCCGATGGCCATATTTTTTAGAATAATCTATATGGGTGCATTAAATGCATATATTAGTCAACAGGCTTGTGCCAATAGAACAAAAGACACAAGATTAGAGTTTCTAGAGAGACTAGATTTTGGCACAGCAACTATATGAACCACTTCTTCGAGAACGAGAAATTAACCAACGTCTTCCAAGAGAACTAAGACTCGGCATTCAAAAGGTACAAAGAATAAATCCAACCGAAAATGATGATCATACAGATACCTTACCCAGGAACGCTAGGAAGTACTGCTATTTATGTAACCCAAAATTAAAAAGGAAGACAAATTTCCTGTGTATACAGTGTAATCACACTGTTCACAGTGATCTGTTTGCAATTTAGCAAAAAAATGTGTAGTGAATGTGTAAATAAGCGTGAAGAAATGTGATCAACTGGCCAATTTTCAGGACTTGCACAATTTTTTTTAAAATAACTTTTGTATGAACAATATTATTTTAGTATTCAATATAGTTTGAAGAACAAATTAATTTTTCGGTTCATTCAATTTTTATTTTCCTAAAGTTGGTATTATTTTGTATTGTTCAACTTTTTATAATAAATATGATTTCTTTAAATGTCTTTTTAACTTTTAATAACTCTAACGTAACATTAAGAACACAAATTGTCAATTAGACAACATGGAGTCCCAGGGACTCTACCACGTCGTTTGTGTAAAATTAATTCACCACGTTGGTTAAGAGTTTACACTCACAAACAATGCAGAAGTTTAATCTCATTTAAAATTTGCATAATGAACCTTTATCTTAAAATATTCTTTATCAATTCGGCAAAATTTGAAATAAAAAATCTCTAGGTTATTTGGTTACACGTGATCGTAGTAATAAATATATATTGCAGATCCTATTGTTGAAAATTTAAATTAAATGTAAATATAGCAAAAATACTTACTCAAATTGTTGATACTATGGGAAAAAATAGGCTGACAAATAGGAAATAATATACCATTCTCTTTAATATAAGCATCAAACCTTAGACAAACTATGTTCAGATTAATTGATTTACTTTCGCTCTCAGCCAACCCCTTAATCTGAAATGTTGGAATAAAAAATGCAAATAAAACACATTTAGATATCACCCGGTATAGACCAGTTTGTCATGCGTCGAAATGATATCCACATGTATTTAACAATTACTTTTAATTTCTGGCTGAAGAGAAAAATGCATACCTTCGTACTGACAGTTGGGACACCATAGGCCCATGGTCATTTTTAAACTGTAAAATTATTTATATTATTAATAAAATAAGTGCTAAATATTATTACACAACATTATACGATCCAATCATAGGAACCAACATAGTAAACATAAGAAATCGAATGAGAAACACAGAAATAAGAAAATAGACTATCAATTATCCCTTTCCACCCGTGCCTACTCAATTGTGTAAGATATTTTTTTCTACTCTCTTACTAGTAAATTGTATATTACCTACTATTTGGATGCTAAGTAAATGCATCATAACAGATACTGACACGTAATGACTAGCACGTAATAAAAAAAATTACGCTTCAGTTCTATAAAAATGTGTAATATCACATACGCCTTGTAAGTCAGTTGGTCGAGTTACCATGGAAACGAATTAACAGGCGTTGTTTTGACAGGTTAAAAATTATTAATCTGTCAGTGTAAATATAGTGGTAATTTAATTTTTATTTTTATAAACAAAAATAATGGTAGAAAAAGTATAGTACACATCTTGAGTTGTAAGCTCGCCGCTACACGGCTCGCGCGCAACTTTTTTACTCGCATGTAATAAGCTTCTTACAACTCTCGTTATGTAATATACTATTTTATACTCTCTTACTAGTAAATTGTATATTACCTACTATTTGGATGCTAAGTAAATGCATCATAACAGATACTGACACGTAATGACTAGCACGTAATAAAAAAATTACGCTTCAGTTTTATAAAAATGTGTAATATCACATAAGCCTCGTAAGTCAGTTGGTCGAGTTACCATGGAAACGAATTAACAGACGTTATTTTGACAGATTAAAAATTATTAAACTGTCAGTGTAAATATAGTGGTAATTTAATTTTTATTTTTATAAACGAAAATAATGGTAGAAAAAGTATAGTACACAACTTGAGTTGTAAGCTTATTACATGCTTGTAAAATTACTGCGCTCGCCGCTACGCGGCTCGCGCGTAACTTTTTTACTCGCATGTAATAAGCTTCTTACAACTCTCGTTATGTAATATACTATTAACGTTCCCTCGTATACGTACAGCGCAGTTTTAAACGTTCCGAACGAGCGACGATAGTTGTGTAGGTAGGTATCACAGAACAACGTTGAATCATGTCTGGGCTACGTGCTTTTGGGTTGGCGGGATATTAGTATGAATTAGTTCTTTACAATGGAAGGCCGAAATTTTCGTCAAAAATGTAAATATGTTTTTTATAGTAAAGAAGCTTGTTTCTTTTTAACCAGTGTGTTACAATGAATATTAGTCTAACCAAATATTTCCAGTGTTTTCTTGTTAAATTTTTAACATAGTTTTTTTAGAAAATTAATTTTCTAGTTCTACTTACACATTTGTGCGGGTTGGGATTAACTGTTTATTTTAGATTTCTTGGACAAACAAAAAGATGTCGATGAACTTCTTAGGATGACGGATGAAGACTCAGAGGTAGAAAGTTTTAGCGACGATTCGGATGCTGACCCTACATGGCAGACAGAGGCTCAGGAACCTACTAGGATTCTGACAGAGCGATGACGAGTCGGATAGTAGCGACTAGGAAATTCAAACGAAAACTTGTTAAGAAACGAACCTATTCTATATGAATTTGAAAATGCAGCAAAATCATGAAAATAAAAAAAAGAAGAATAAAAATTTTCTTGGTCAAGTTTGTTTGTTTTTACCAAGCAGCCTTATATTCTAATATGTATTCATTGCCAAAAAGAGGGAAAGCATTAAATATGACAGCAGCTGAAATCAAAAAACTTGTTTTGTTGATACAAATTCTCCCCATGGTATAATAAACTACTGAATTCTCCCCTTGAGAATCATCAAAATAACAGGCTATGGAAAGTGCAACCTTTCATAGTTGCGGTACGAAATGCATGTCTTCAAATTGAGAGATCAATAAACAACTACAGCACTGCAAGCAATTTGATTGAACCCAGCCTATGAGAAATGTTCACCCAGGTAGTACGATCGGGTGTAACAATTCATTGGAGCAAGGTGTTTTAACTCGAGTTAAAAACAGGAATCACCCCACCGTGCTCCAATGCTCTAGACCATCCCTTTCCCCCTATAGCAATCTGATTCGCTATAGAGGCACAACAATCAGCCAAGTGCTCTTCATGTGGAGGTCCTGGGTAATAGAACCCCAACATGGTTTCCTAACCGTATGCAAAAACTCAGAACAGTGCATCTCCGCTTTATTCCTGTACTACAGCACTGTCGAACAGATGATTTCTTTTATATACCGATGATTACCTTTGGTCGGTGCTCTTTACGTCAATATGTAAAAGGCAAACCACAACCAATAGGATAAACATTTTTGTACTGACTTGATCAACAGGTGTGGTTCTCGATTTTGAGGTATACCAAAGCAAACAAACTCCTCTTTCAAATGCAGAACATGGACTTGGACCTTCTGTAGTCTTGAGATTAACATCATTGCCAGAAGGATCGTTTTTGCACTTTGACAGGTACTTTACTACACCTCGCTTAGTAAATAAGCTTTGTGAACTAAAAATATATGGAACAATCGAATCAAAGTTAACTTTGTGCCAAATCCTCGTCTTCAAAGAGGTTAAAGTGAACAATTTTGCTGCAAAGAACAAAATATTGTGGCCGTTAAGTGAAGGGACTCAAAGTCTGTAGTTTTATTGTCGAATGAAGCTGGAGTTGATCCTCAAAGTATAATAAAAAGGTGGTGTAAAAATTTAAAAAATATATATGTAGAAATAACATGTCCCGATATTGTTAAATGTTACAACGAGAATATGGGAGGTGATGATATCGAAGATCAGCAACTCGAATATTACCGAAGATTGATAAAAACCAGAAAATGGACCTTAAAAGTAATAATTCACTTTTTGGATCTTTCGCTGGTACAATTTTGGATGCAATATAGAGCTAACTGTCAAATGAATAATATTCCAAAACGAAAGGTAAAGGATTTCTCCTATCCTTTCGAATGGAACTTGCAGAAACATTACTGGCAACCCTACGAAATGACGTTTTACTAATAGTAATCAAGAAGAGGAAGAAAGAGAGCCTCCAACAAAAAAAAACACATAATTATATGACTGCAATGCCAGCTGAAGATGGTTGGATAGCTTTGAGCATTTTCCAACTGTAGATCAGCTAACTACAGCCAGTTTTTGCCGCAGAAGCACTTGGAAAAGTAGAAAGCAAGTGAGATGTTTAAAATGTAATGTTTATTTGTGCCTTACAAAGGAACAAAATTGTCAACACACAAAAACTTCTACAGGCTATGGTGGAATTTCAAATGCTGCTTCATGTTGTTCAACTAACGGAACTTACACTCACAGGCGTAGAGAGTGTAGTCAGAATCCAAAACGACTTTACAAGACCTTTCCATTGTAAAAATGGACTGAGACAGGGAGATGGACTGTCGTGTCTATTATTTAACCTTGCACTAGAAAAAGTAATTCGAAAGTGCCATATTAATACGAATGGCACCATCTTTAACAAGTACAAGTGGTCGGATATGCAGATGACATAGACATTCTAGGTCCACAGAATCTCTGATCGAAGCATTTCGATCATTCAAGGGCGTCTTCACTGAGAATGGGATTAAAAATAAACACACAGAAAAATACGTATATCTATTGTACCAGATCAGGCAACCACATACCTAGACTATTAATTGATTATCTGGAACTGGAAGGTGTGGACACCTTCGTCTACCTGGGCTCGCTGCTGACCAAAGCCAATAACGTCAGCGAAGAAATTAAAAGAAGAATAAAACTTGCCAATAAGTGCTATTATGGCTTAAGGAAACAGATGGCCCCAAAACTAGCCAGAAAAATTAAAGTATATACATAAAGTATAATATAATTTATATATAAAGTATATAAAGTATATATAAAGTATATAGCATATATAAAACACTAATAAGACCAATGTTAACACACGGGTCAGAAAAGTGGTCACTTAATCAGAACGACCAAGAATTGCTTAAACGTTTCGAGAGAAAAATTCTAAGGAAAATATATGGAGGACTCCACGAAGAGGGTTTGTGGCATAGACGCTACAATTTTGAGTCATACAGAAGTTTTGGGGAACCTGAAATTGTAAAATTATTAAATTAGCACGCCTTTGATGGATAGGACATGTAATTAGGCGAGATGAAGATGCAGCGATGAGAAAAATTTTCGACCGAAGAGGACCAGTGGGAAGACGAGCCAGAGGAACACCAAAACTTAGGATATCATAGAAGATATCATATAAGATATCATAGAAGATGATCTAAAATCTATCGGAGAAGCATGGAGAAGAGTTGACAAGAGACAGGGTTGAATGGAAGATTGTTCTGAAGAAGGCTTTGGCTCATAACGAGGTGTAATGCCACAGATGATGATGATATCTAACATTTTCGATAATTTTGTGTCATAACTGCCAAATTTATTCACATTGTGTGATTGTGTTACTGTTGAAGAGACGCTACTTCTTCAAGAGGTCACTGATATATTTCTTACTGCAATTTCGATAGAGTCAGACATGAACAAATGATGGAAGTGCTGAAGAGGACAGGGACTGACGGAAAAGACTTAAAAATAATAGCTAACCTGTATTGGAATCAATCAGCGGTACTCCGAATAGATGGAGAATATACAGATCAGGTTAAAATCTTAAGGGGAGTGAGATGGGGTGCATAATTTCACCACTGATATTTAATCTGTACTCGGAGCACATTTTTGAAGAGGCTCTAAAAGATATTAATGAAGGTATCTCAATAAATGAAGTCAAGCTCAATAACCTGCGGTATGCAGATAATACAATAGTGTTTTTCAATACAATAGAGGAGCTGCAAAACTTAATAAC